TTATTAGCATAGACTTCATAATGCCTATTTTGACTCCATATGTATGATTAGAGAAGGAATTAATAAGAAATCCCGCGTTTGTGGATTTATATAAACGTCTCTGTCTAACTTATAACCTTCTTTGTTCACTAATACATTAAAATAAAGCAATTAATTTTCCTTTTCCAACTCCATGTTAAACTTAGCGTTGGCATCTTTTCTATTTATTAGCTCAAGGAATTTACCCATACCATCCTAGCCGTGTTGCCGAACAACAAACGAATCGTCCATATAACGAACTAATAATTTGGGAACTAGGAATGTCTCTTGAAACACGCGAACTTCTACTTGTTTCATATTGTTTTAGCTAAAATAGGGGCTAAACAAAATCTCATAGCCAAACCCTGTGTCTGCTCATACAACTTACGCTTGAAGATAAAATATGTAGTCTACATTACCTAATTTGCTAATCTAATGATTTAATCTTTGCTTAACTTTTTACCTGTTATGATTTCATTGTTCTTACCTAGAGTTAATCATAAGACCTTCATTGCAATGTTTAACGGAAAGTTGGTGTGCATAGACAATACATCGAAATTTACCAGTAAATATCCCCTTTCTATCATCTGATCATTAAGTAACTGTATAAAGTCGTAAGAGTTCCTTACTAAAAGCTCGCAATTTTCGGAGATTTGTTTTGACTGAGTAAATATAAATCGTGATGTTTTATGCATCACAGTTACTCTATTATTTACAATACTCCCAAGAGGGGTACCCTACTTGTGAGTTGTTGACAGGCCATACGCGTTTGTGGATCTACCAGTTCGCTGGAAAAGCGCGTTAATTTTCCACTTTTCCTATTCTTCACCGTTTACACATTGTTGCAAAAGACCCTTAAGTCTGATATTAAGGCCTTCTGTCGAGTACCTAATTATAATTTTATATTTTTCGTATTTGAGTGGAGTTTCGAGACTACTAGTACATCAGTAGTAGAAGTTATGGATAAGACTGAATATGTAGAGAAAATGTCAGGCATTAGACGATGAAACAACATATAAAATTATGAGATGTATTCACCCTATTTCGTTTAAGATGATAAAGGACTGGTAGTAGAATTTTCAACAATGAGTAGAGCTAACGTTTCCATTGAATTTCATATAGCCTTGCTTTCCCAAAGGCTACTACCAGTCCTTCATCACCTTAAAGAAATAGGGTGAATACATCTCATAATTTTATATGTTGTTTCATCGTCTAATGCCTGACATTTTCTCTACATATTCAGTCTTATTCAAAACTACTACTGCGTTTCCTTTGATTGCCCTTAATACTAATTTGTCATTTGTCTTAGGCTTCCTTATAAAAATATTAATTGTCCTATTCTTGTATGGTGTTTCTACATTACCATAAATTAAAAGGGCAAGTATCCTCTGGGAACCTATTCGTTAAAGTCATCAATTCTACAAAAATTTCCTCTTCTATTTCACCACCATTTGGAAATGAAAAGTTTAAGCTCTTTGCTAGGGCCCCCTCAGTAGATGTGTCCAATGAAATTTAGGACAGATTTGCCCATTTTTTGCGACGGCTATCCTTACACTTAAATTCATTAGACGTGGGTCGTTCCCTTGAGCTAATTTGTATACCTTAATTTCTTTATTTTTTATCATGAGTCTTCTTAACCTGTTGGAAAATTTTCTCATGTAAACTATCCGCTATACTCCGGAGTTTAGGAAAATCTTCCTAACCAAAAGACTCGGACAAGATTTGCCTAATTCTAGTCTTAGTTCTAATTAATGAGTGAAGCTTTTATATGTTTTCCATAAGTTTAGTATATTTTTGTTCTCGTTCATGAAGTATGGATACCTGCTTTGATGGTGTCTGTCACAGTACCGACGAAAGCTTAGCATAATTTCATCGGGACACAGGACAGTGGGCTGAGGACTTCTTCGTACAATTCGATAGTCTTTCTTACGCGGTAATCCTCCTTCAGTTTCCGATGAAACTACAACACGAATTCGTTCAAACCAACTTTTAATTCGAAATGTAAAGTCATGTAGCAAAATTTCACTAAGGAATTCTTCGAAACTCAATTTTTATTCATACCTCAAACTTAATGTACATGGGTGAATTCAATTTACGAACCTAAGGTACGTTCTGTGGCATTCATTTGCATGCCCACATGAACCAGTTTACTATACTCTAATGCTGACTAATTCTTGGGTTTGCCCTATTATCTATTTTATGTGTATGTAATGTTGATGTTATGAGAAGCGTTATTGTCCTGGCCAGGCTCGAGGCCAATCCAGTCTTCTTCTCTTGTTCAGAGGCTGTCTCTCCTCCTTAAGCCCATCGAACTGCCATAATATGGTTCCTACTCAGTTTTCTGACCTCGTTTCTCCTATTCAACCGGTTGGTTGTTTGATACTTTCTATAGACTCCCTACTCTTGCACTTGGGTGCAAAATCTCTGTAACCAGAAAAATGTCCTATTTTGGACCAGTCTATAGAGCGTCCTGTATTCACCATGTGTTCAGCGGATAGAGATTTTTCAATCCATACACATTTACAAGAGGTATTCTGTTTGCATAGTCTCTTCTGGATGTGTTGGCCGAAGACATATTCGAGACGAAAAAGAAGGAGAACAAGGAGGGATGTGATATGGAATAGGCGATAATGATCTTCCCTCCAGCCGGTGTATTGCACCTTCAGGCTTGGCATAATACCAAAAAAGAGACCAACAATTCACAACACATGATTGCCTGAAGATTATTTGAGACGATGGGAGGAGAGCAGGTGTAAACTAGGGTGTAGGGCTGGGAGGGGGGGTATACTGTTGTGAAAAGGCGCATTCTGAATGGTAGAAAAAAATACAGAGAATGGAGGATCTGGCAACATTCGATGATGCCCCGTGGGCATTGGAGAGCGGCATCACAGTCTAACTGACGGAACAGTTCACCGTGTTGGTCGGCTTTCTGTTGCTGTGACGAGATGAGAGGCGATTGGTCGTGTACCATATTGCCTGCCTTGACGTCAGAGTTGGGCAAAGGGGCCGAGGATAAGGGCCATTTTGTGGCTGTCGCGTCGCAACGCAGCGACCGCTTCTGGCCGACCCCAGTCCCGACTGCCTTCGATGGCGGAGACGGTGCCCATAAGGAAGACGCCTTGACCGGCCGGCTTGCCTGACTGGCAGGACTCAAGCTTGCGGCAGTAGCAGACGGCAGGGGTGGCGGTGGCGTCGTCAGGGCGATCGAGTGTCCTAGGTCCGAGTCCCGAGGGCCAGGCCCGTCGAGGAGGGTGTGTCGCCGAGTCGGGCGGAGTTGCGAGACGATGCTCAAACTTGGCAATCAACGCGGCGACGAAGCCGGTGGAGTCGAGGCTGTGGCCGAAGTCGACCGGCCGGCGGACGGGACGGA